CTTCCATGCAGTGAGGAAATATTCATCAAAGCAATGGAGAGACCTGCTGGCTGCAGGGTTTGGGGTTGCAAATATTGCTTATGACTTCCCTTCCGGGAAGGCAAGGGAGTCGCATGTTTGACTCTTCCTGCCGGAATTCAGAACTGCCTTATTTCAGCAGTCTGCCGGGCTCATCTGGCAGGGAGCACTCTCACCTTGGATGTGTCCGGGAAACAACCACAGGGTTAATTCCGGAAGGAACTTCCCAAAGATTTCAGGGAATACTGGATGCTTGTAACTATATTGGGGAATGACCTTAAGCTTGCTCAGGTCTAGTGTGGTCTCCTTGACAGAAGAGATTAAGGTGGCACCCAGTGGCCACCCATGTGGCAAATGCATTCTTCTCTTTTCCTGTTCACTTGGCCTGCTACAGGCAATTTGCCTTTCCCTGGCAGCAGATACCAGTGCCACCCAGCCCCAGATGTGAATAACTCTGCAGTTTTGTGGAGGTTTTTTTAAGATTTTATTTTTAAGTAATCTCTATAGCCACCATGGGGCTTGAATTTACAACCCTGAGATCAAGAGTCGCACACCCTGGGGCGCCTGGGTAGCTCAGTCGCTTAAGCGTCCGACGTCAGCTCAGGTCATGATCTCACAGATCGTGGGTTCAGCCCCGCGTCAGGTTCTGTGCTGACAGCTCAGAGCCTGGAGCCTGTTTCAGATTCTGTGTCTCCCTCTCTCTCTGCCCCTCCCCCACTTGTGCTCTGTCTCAAAAAAAAAAAAAAGAGTTGCACACCCTACTGACTGAGCCAGCCAGGTGCCCCAACTCTGCAATTTTGCTCAACCTAATCCTCAAGTTCTTGACCACCCACCCCAGCACATTGTGATGGTCTACTTCACTGATGTCATGTGGCTTAACTCAGAGAACTGGAAGAGGCAGTAATCCAGGCGTAAAGCATTTATGCTTGCTTGGGGAGAGAAATCCTAGGGAAAAATTGCCCACCCAGCAAAGTTCCTGGGGGGTTGGCATACTTACCCTTCCCCCCACCGCCTTCAGCCAAGTGAAACATGAATTGCACTTGCCTCTCGAACTACCTTCACTGTCCCATTGTGCACAAAGCATGGTAGGTAGACCTCTTCAATCGTTGGTGAAAGCACTTGTTTGGGTATTATACACCAAATGCTTCTACTGGGCAGCCCTCAAAATCTACTATGTGCAAGTGGGGCCCTGAGCAAGAGAAGATTCTCTAGGAGATCCAGGCTCACATAGCATATAGCAGACCCAAGGCATATTTGGAACTGGAAGTAAAAATCAGAAGAGCCCGTGATGTCTTTGAGGCCATCATGTTAACTATCAGCGTTTATTGGAGATCTGGCATTCTTCTAAGGGACACCACATAACTGCAACCTGGACCAGGTGATCTGACAGCTTCCTCTATGATCCATTAGATATAGGTACAGACGGGATTGGGTTTGATTTAACCTGAAGGTATCAGTAAGCTGCCTATCGGCGCCTATACCAGGAAGATGGGTGAAAAACACTGAAGCTTGGTTTACAGGGGGCTCTGCATGACATACTGGCATCAGCAGTGAATGTTAAGGAATTCCAGCCCCATGCAGGCCACTAAAGGACAGCTGTAGCCCAAGGAAAAGCAGCAGCCCAAAGACAGAGCTTCAAGTATGACACATTCTTCTCTGCGGAAGACAGCTTGTGTCTAGGTCCTGTGCAGAAGGGCAGGGACTTAGCGAGAAGGAAACTGGACTTCCTGACACAGGCCACGTCCCACGTGACAGCTCACCACTTCTAACCACAACAAAGACCAAGCTATGGGCACAGTTGTCAATCCTCGGCCCATAATGTACACCCACCAGCTCTCACCTCCGAAGTTCCACTGAGCACCTGAAGTCAAGGACTACACTGTCCCGTGCCGGGGCTCATCGCCAGGGAAAACATTTATCAGAGAAAATATGACCAGCCTGAGGAGGGAGGTCAATGCCCTCAGGGGTGCAAGGCCCTGATGGGGGCCTGGTACAAGGCAATATGATAACCACTGGCCCTCTGCTTGTACCTCTATACCTGCTTCCTCAGCTGAATGTTGAGGGACGGCTCATATTCCCTAAAAGGCTTTCATGGCTTAGGTGTTTCCAGATCGTCTCAACATGGAAGTTGGGGAAAGAAACTAGGATTCTGTTCATTTTTCTCTGGTGGTATCTGGGCAAGTTCAGGTGAATGGTGACAAAGGGGCACAGCTCTGGCTCTGAGAAATAGCAGGACTTGTCTGAATCGAGGCCATGAATCTCTATGTTCACTTATTCAACCTTGTGAACTTCAATTACAAGTATTTCTGGCACCTGTAGAGTTTGGTCCAAGTGCTTGGTCCAAGTGCTTGATAAGCCACACGGACCTTGTAAAGGTCAACCAGACCTCCTCAGCCAGTACCAAGCTGGTGCATGGTCCAAGGAAGCTGGCAGTGCCAGGGCACATGTGGGCCACTGAAGTCATGGGTAGAAAGAAAGCCATGGAAGAAATGGGGTCTCCTTGTCTTCTGTGTCTTGAGCACACCAGACCCTGGCCAGCACATCTCAGGGTCAAGCAGAAGCAGGGCTCTGGCTAGTGGTTAGTTTGTTTCTCAGGTACGGGGTGAGTGATCCCTGATAATCTGGTTGAGTCCTAACGCTCTAGATCAGGAGTTGGCAAATTTCTTCTGTAAAAACCCATGTGAAAAATATCTGAGACTTTGCAAGTCAAATGTCTCTGTTGCAACCACTCATTTCTGCCACTGTAGAGTCAAAGTAGTCAATGAACGAGTGTAGCTTTGATCCAATAAAATTTATTTACAAAAATAGGCAGTAGGCCAAGTTGGGCCCAAGGACCATAATTTCCCAACCACTGTCCTCGATGACACTAGTAGACATCGTGGCTGCCTGAAGGGACTATGACCCATACTGCTCCTCTGCGAGATGGAAACCTCTACGGTCTGGTGCTCTGCAGAGTCGTACATGCGTGCAGAACAGGACACTGTGTATGGGACTTTCTGACCAAGTGGTGGATGCAGAGGCGAGAATGTGAGGGCCACACCAGAATGTGAGGGCCACGCCAGAATGGGCTGAACTTCGTTCTTCATAAGAAACACCAACTGGTTTATTCCAGATCAGGCCCAACCCTCCTACCCCCGTACACACATGGTCCCTGGGTGGGCACGGTCCTGCCTGGGCCCTTAAGAGCCCTTGTGCTGTGGCCTGACCACCAGGCCCTCTCTGGTGATGGCCCAGTTGTAGCTCTTCGGGGAGTCCAATGCTTCTTCCACCCGTGCCTCCAGGTTCTCCCGGGTGATGAAATTTTTTGCCTCCTCCTATTGGGAGAGAGAAGGCTGGCTGAATGGAAGTCTCCAGCACATGCCTGCTACTTGCTGGCCTTCTGCCCACTGAGGGAGAGGCTCCAGCTCTCTTTGGATGGATCCTTGGAGCCCAGGTCCTCTGTGAGTGCCCTGCAGCCCTTCCAGGGGAAGAATCTCAGGCAGCCTTACCATATTCCTCTTTCTTAATCATCCACTCGACATCTCAGCCAGAACTCCAAGCGCACCAGTTTTGACAATGGCGGGTTCTGCTAGGTGGAATCAGTTCCTCACTGTTGCCTCAATGTCCTTCTTAATTTCTCAACTTTGTCCTTCTCCTTCTATTACTTTGATTTAGACCTCCTCTACTCTTGCTGGATCGCTCCTAACTGGTCTCTCTGTTTTTCAAGTTTCACACCTTATATCTTAGCCTAGAACATAACTTCAACGACTTTCTCACCCGGAAGGCAAAATACGAATTCCTTGTGGAAGCCGGGTCCCTCCCAGATGCGCGCTTACCTACCACCACCTAGGTACTTGAACACTTTCCAACGTTAAGTCTCACTTTTGGATCTCTGCGCTGCAAGGCGCTCTCCTCGCACTCCTTCTCTCCCAAATCCTCACCTACTAACTCTCAAGACTCCAGGCTGCTCGCCCTCTCAGTTCATGGAGCCAGTGCCCCACTTCGCAGCGCCCAGGGCTCCCAGTGCCGCCCAGGCGGAGTTCCCGGCCTCCAGCTCCGGCCCTTAGAGACTCGGCCCACCTGTAGCTGCAACACTTCCTGCTCCTTGAGCTGGATCCAGGCTTGCGTCTCTCGGGCCTGCTGGACCTTCTCCTCCGCCTGCCGCTGCTCCTGCTCCCGCGCCTCCTGCCGCAGCCTCGCTAGCCTGGGGTGGCGGGCAAGATGGCAGGCGCTCAGTGCGGCTGGGTCTCCCCCACCAGCCGGCGGCCCGCCCCGCCTCCCGGCCCCACTCACCGCAGCTCGTGCAGCCGCTGGTTCTCCGCCTGGTTCCAGGCCATCAGGTCGCGGTGCTCAGCGGCTTCCTGCAGCACCTTGCGCTCCGCCAGGACCCCGGCCCGGGCCTCGTGCATCTTCCTCCGCACCTCGGACACGAACTCCAGCCTGGGAGACGAACCCAAAGTCCGCACCCTCTACGCCCGCCCGCTCGGTCACACCGCCCTCGGCCGCCTCCCCTTAGTCATACACACCTGAGGGCGCGCACCGTCTGGCGGTACTGCCGGTAACGCTCTGTCAGCACATAGAACTCTACAGGATCCACAGCACGCGGGGTCGCCACGCGCCCAACCTTGGACTTGGCCGGCGGGTCATGGCGGGTCTTGCGGCCGCGAACGGGCAGCAGCAAGGGTACCCGAGGTCCGCACTGGGTACCCGCGCCCAGGACCCTCAGCGCGCGTAGCATGGCCCAGGATGCCCCGCGTCCGGCGCGCCGCAGGGCATGACGGGGCCCGAAAGCGGCCGCGGAGAACCACGGGACTCGTAGTCCGCGGACCCCGCTTTCCCCAGCCTGGACCCCGCTCGATTGTATTGCCCCTACATATCTGCGTCCGCCCCGGCCCGCTGGCCCTGGCTGCGCCCTTCCTGCGGGGCCTGCCGTGACCCGCCCCGTGTCCCTCCCGCCGGCGGGCCGAGCCCGCGTCCCTCCAGCCCCCACGCGGGGTAGGGTCTCAGTGCGGGTGGGCAAGGGAGGGGACGACGCAGAGAGCTCGAGGCAGTAGTTTCAGGGAGTTCACATCTTTATTGGAGGGCTGCAGGGCGCGGGGCTCTGGGTCCGGTCTGCGGGGAGAGGCAGCGGTCATTTTAGCGGACGCCCTGGTCACCTGGCAGCCCAGCTGCGACCTTGCCGCCCCCTCCCCTCCCGACCTGTCCTCGCGGAGCTGGACGCGGCCGCCTGGCTGTCGGCCTGCTCTCCTGTCCTGCGGACGCCCCCTGCCTGCTAGAGGACCCAGCGTGGGGGCTCTGTAGCTCCTTGGGCGTTCCCCACCTTCAACAAACCTGGTATGTAAAAACCTGAGCTCACACCGACTTAAACTCGGTGGTAAGTTTTTGCCTTAGAGGAATTTACCACTTTCTCCTTCAGTTAGCGCCCCCTGGTGCCCTTGAAAATAAATTTGCAAGGGGCGCCTGGGTGGCTCAGTCGGTTAGGCATCTGACTTTGGCTCAGGTCATGATCCCATGGGTTCGAGTCCCATGTTGGGCTCTGTGCTGACAGCTCAGAGCCTGGAGTCTGCTTCGGATTCTGTGTCTCCCTCTTTCTCTGCCCCTCCCTTGCTTGCACTTTGTCTCTCAAAAATAAACGTTAAAAATTAAAAAAATAATTCTGGATTAAATTTGCAAAATAGTAGTAATCCATCTCAGTACTCGGTCTCCTGCAATCACTAAGTCGTTGCTAGTGCAGTGACCTCTTGGTTCTTGGGGCTCTTCTATTAGTGTGAGTTCACACCCCTCACCTTTTTCCACTGACTGAGGGCCTGACCACGAGGAAACACAACTGGGTTCTCTTGATGGGAAAGAAGCCTGGAAGACCCCACCACAGCTACTGTCTTAGGGAGGTTTTAAGCACAATGATCTCCTCCACTAATGGCTTCTAATCTTTTCCTTTAACATGAGTATCTTATCATAAATTGTCTAGAATGCTGGGAAATAGGAAGAATAGCAGATGGCATCCAGCTGTGTGCCTGGGGTCGTTTGGCAAGGGGCGTCTCCGTGTTTTCTCATTACCCTCTCTTCTGTCCACATAGACCCCAAGTCTTTAGCCAAAAGGGCCCCCGGTGGCCAATGCCTGGACCTCCCCCTGTACTTACCAGCAGTGTCTGCACCAGGTGCTGCTTCCTGCGGAGGGACCACCAGCCTGAGGTTCTGGCCTCCCAGGGCGCAGTGTTCTCAGGGGAAGCCAGGGCATCGCTTGGGAGGTTAAGGGCAGTCTGGTCTGGTCTGCTTGCTGCAGTGCCCAGAACCCTTCCTCAGAAGGGAGCCAAGGCTGTGGGCTGCCCACGACCCCGTCCCGGGCTCACGGTAGGTGAAGGAGCCCCAACCAGCACCTTCTTCCTCCCACTCAGGCTGGGGAGACCCTTGACCTACCTGGGAGCCTTGGGGCATGCTGTGGGTGCTGGGCTGAGCTGGAAGCTCGCTTTCCTCCGGGGTACCAGCCATGGGACCAGTGCTGAGCCTTCGAGGGCCCAGCGTGGGCGGTCAGCAGCAGCAGTAGCAGAAGGGCTAGCTTGAAGCTGGCCATGCCAGGGCTGCTCCCAGGGAGAGTGGACAGCACTCAAGACGACGGATACTTCCATCCATACCGCCTTCCTTTTCTTCCCGGGTCCCCTTGGACAGCTGGCACCTCAGGGCCAGCTTTGGTGTTTCCCAATGCCCTTCCCTCTTCTGCCACTGCTCCTCACCCCGGGAGTCCAGGAATCTGGACCCCAAAGGCTTCGGGCAGCTAGCCTTTCCCAGAGCGCCCCGGGGCATAGAGGATGCCAGCCTTGCCAGCTGAGGGCCCTTCCCAGTCAGTCAGGCCTACCCCTCCTCCCTTCAGGGTCTCCAGAAGTGGGAGAGGGTTGGAAAAAGGAAGAGACTTGGGTCAGGGGAGCTCAGCCACGTAGGGGCACTGTGGGCACCTGGTGCACAGCATGCTGCCTTTCCTCTGTGGTTTGCCATCTCTCCTCCATGGCAGTTGGGGATGTGGAATGGATGTGGTGACAGGGGCACATGTTTCTACCCCTCATCCCTCCCACGCTAGAGGCAGCCGGCGCAGGAACAGCGTTGGGGAGAGAAAGGGAAAGGGTTCTTTTTTGGGGCGTGGCTCACGGTTAAGAGGGACTTGGGAGGGAGAAGAGGAAGAGGGAGCCCTACACCCACGACGGACTGCTGTCCAGGAGTCCTAGCCCCTGGGGGAGAGCAGCCTCTTCACTCACCGAGGGAAGGCTGTGGACGGGCGGCTCCTTGAGGTGGCTCCTCCAGGTGACAGTGGGACCCCTAGCCAGCCAGCTCTGGGATTTATGGACCAGGTGACTCCTCCCCCTGCTCCTGGGCCACAGACTCCAGTGACGTCTCAGAGGGGGAGTAGCCTGCCACCCAACACCCTTCCCTTTCCATGCTCCTAGCCACTGGCCCTGGGGTCACCAGACAGATGGCTCCCTCTCCCTGTCTTCCCAGGGATCTGAAGTGAAGACTGCTCCAGCCTGGCCAGGCCCTGAACAATCCTCCCACTTCCCAGGCTGCATCCTCAAGCTCCCGCCCTTAGGCCTACAAAACCCTGTCTTTCTTGACCTGAAAAGGAAATTGTGGCCTGGAGGGGGCAGTGGCTGGGGACCTGTGTCCCACCCAGTTGGCAACCTGATGGGGAGCCAGCAACCTGTGGAGAGGTCTGGGGTGGGGGAGCAGGAGGGCCGGAGGGCTTGTCTGCTCAGCTGTAAAATGGGGCAGATGGAACGGTCCTCATCCACACACCTGGGCACCAGGGCTGGGTCACTCTAGATGGAGGTAGTTTTGGGTGGGGCACACCTGCCCACAGGCGGCTTTTCTCTCCTCCCCCCAGGCCCATGAGAGGGGGCTCTGCTTAGGGGCCAGTGTGGCATCCGGGGGCCTATGAGCAGGGGGCAAGATTGCCCCTCAAGGTTCCAAGCCTTCCCCATCCTGTGCTCAACCCAGGACTATTCATGGAGTTGGGCAGAGCTCCATTAGACACTTGAAACGTGCCCCCACCTCTCATTCTGCGTCAGCTCAGCTTTCCACCACCAGCCATTAGCCTGGGGGACAGAGGCCTGTTTACAGGGTTAATAGCCAATTTCCGCATTTGGGCTGAACAGCCAATGCAAGGGCGAGGGTCAGGCTTGGTGGCGCGGCGCGGTGGCCAGTCATTAGGAGAGCAGGTGCGTCAAATCCTAAGGCAAAGATGGGGGAGGGGATGGCATAACAGGCACCGGTCATTCATGGGCGCCTGGACTTCAGCTTCCCGGGCAGGAAGGCACACATCAATTTCCAAACAGCGTGTGGACTGTGTTCAGTGAAACTGTTTTGGGAAATACTTTGTTCCTATATGTGTTGGTTAACCAAGTAATTTTTAGGCAAACATTTGTTTTATGCTTCAGTGAAAAGGATTCTTTTGAGTTCAGTAAACTAGCTTCGTTCTGGTTTACAGGATATTTTATTCAAAGTCCCTTGTGTTTATTTTAAAAGAGGAATGGGGTGCCTTTATTTTTTCTGTAATTTGTTTGTGGTTTTTCCTAAAAAATCCAAACCAGAACTAAGCTTCCCAAGGGACGCTCTGGTTCCTTTCTTTCTGGTAACACACACAGCTTTTCAGGAACGTGTGCTGGCATCTTCCAGACTGTAGACTCTGGGCTTGATGCTCCTGTCCCTCAGCAGGACACAGAAAGCCACGTGCTCATCACCAAGCACCTCATGCTCGGTCCGAGGGCAGGACTTCATTCCAGTCTGGGAGCTGCTTGTAGCCAGCTGGAAAGCAGAGGCTTAGAGCTGAGTGCTCGGGTGCTGCTGAGGCACGGAGGGGCACCAAGCCCTGACAGACTGTCTGGGGGAAGGGTGCCAGTGAGTTAGCTGGAGACTGCACCCAGGGCAGCAGTGGCGCTCCAATGTAAGGAACAAAATGGAAAAGTCAACGCAGGAACTGCCAGCAGATCTGGATCTGGGGGGTAGGGGTGGAGGGAGGAGGTGCAGGGAAGGCTGGAGGAAGAGACCGCAGACGCTGGAGAGACCGGGTGAAGCCCTGGGCACTGGGAGTGAGACAGGTGCCCGTGGGTCACCCCGTGCAGTCACGCGACAGGAAGCCAACCTGGAGCTCAGGGTTGGAGAAGGGCTGAGGGGCCATAACATACAGACCGCAGGAATGGCCGGTCTCTGAGGAAGGAGAGAGGAGCAGCAGCAGCTCCAGAGTGAGGATAAAGTCACAGGGGAGGAACTAGCGGACAGCGAGTGGGTCCCGGGAAGTGGTAAGAAAGGAATCTGTGGGGATGAACTTTGGAAGAGGAGACAGTGAGTCTCTCATAAAGGCAGAAGACTTTAGGCCTGGGGGAAGTGTTTTGTTTTTGTTTTTTAATTTTTTAATGTTTATTTTTGAGAGAGAGTGAGAGCACGCAAGCCAGGGAAGGGCAGAGAGAGAGAACAGAGCCTCTGAAGCAGGCTCTGCTGTCAGTATGCAGCCCAATGCGGGGCTTGAACCCACCAGCCAGGAGATCATGACCTGAGCCAAAGTCAGACACTCAACTGACTGAGCCACCCAGGCACCCCCCCACACCTTTTTTTTTAAATCAAAGACTTGTACATTTGGTGGTGGTGGTGGGGGTGCTGAAGGGAACAGAACGCCCAGCAGGGAGCCGCCTTGAAGTGAGGTCTGAGCACGGTGGGCACTGGATCACTCGCTCCCCCTCCTGAGAAACCCTCACAGGCTCACTCCCTGGGGCACAGCTGCGGGGCAGTCACTGGATGAAGCGGGGCAGTCACTGGATGAAGCGGTCGCCCCTGTCGTTCCCACTGTGCGGTGTGAGCCCTGATGCACTTCCCTTTAGCCTCGACTAGTTCCCGACGGGTTTATGCCTCTTGCAACCATGCAAGGCCTGCTTGAAGAGGTCTGTTTAGCAGCCAGGTGAGATTTAACATATCGGCCTCATCGCCAGGCAAACCAGCACGGACTCCAGCCCACACTGCTGAGGTGGTAGAGGTACTCAGTCCTGTAAAAGCCCTTGTAAGCGCTGGTGTGGAAGCTCCTCAGTGCCGGCCTGAGCGACAGGAAGTAGGCAGTCTGGTGGCAGGGAGGGAGGCAGCACAGGGCAGGTGAAGGGCTCTCTTACAAGCTCGCCATGTTGCTTGTTGGCCCAAGGCCTGCCCTCCATCTGCCAGGAGGCGGCTTGTGAACAATCAGAGTCTCCTTCCCAAACATGGCACCTCTCCTCAGAAATCCTTCAGATTCTGTCTTTGCTTAACTTACCTATGCTTCTTGAAAACCAACGAGGTTTTAAATTTATTGCGCCTTGGAGTTCCTTAGTTCTTACAGAAGGCCCAAGTACTTCTGACGCATCGGACGCTTCAGAGGTGTCCTGTCATGGTGCCCTGCCTCCTGAGGCTATCCTGAATATCCTGAATATGTGGTGAACTTGGAGCCACCGCATCTGTTCACCTGGGCTCCAAGGCCTTCTGTAATGTGGCTACATGTGACTCTGCCTCCTTTCACCCATCCAGATTTCCAGCATCCCCTGGGTCCAGGTCAAGTCCTGTCTCCGCCAAAACGCACAGCAGCAATGACCGCTGAGTGTGCCTCCATGGCCCAGGCTGGAGGGCCCCCTCTCACTCTGGACAGTCTGAGTAGGCCAGGGCCTGGCCCTGCTCCGGGAGAGAGGCCCCACAGGCCACAGGGCTCTCTCAGCCCTGCCCGGCAGCTGTGGCAAGCAGGTTACGCTCCTGCTCCCATGACGAGCTGCTCGTGAGGAGGAGATGCAGTGAACAACCAACGAGTACGCTTCCTAGCAATTCTGTCGTCATATGGCGCAGCCTTATGACTCGGTTTTGGCCAGTGAGGCAGGAGTGAGAATGGAAAGAAGAGCTTTTGCTTCATGTCCTTAGAAATGAGGTTGCTTTCTCTCCATTTTCTTTTTGCTTCTCCATGGGAAAAGGGGGGGTGATCCAGCGTCAGCCACGAGGACGAGAGTAACGTCCTAAGGGACACTGGGACTACGAGACGGGAGGACGCTGGGTTTCTGGACTGGGCGCACCTTCGCATGGAAAGAAATGAACACCCGCCTTACTTAAGACACAAAAGTTAGACACTTTGTGTAATATGTCAGGCTTGATATCTAGTTGGGATTGAAGACTCCCATCACCCTGGCCTCCGGGTCTGAGGCACTTCCCACAAAAAAGTCCAAATATGAAATGAAGTGAAATTTCGTTAAATGACATCTATTTAACCCAGTAAGTGTGGATCTGAGGGCTTATCCTGGACAAAGCAACACGATCCAGGCAGCTCTGTAGCAAAGCACCAGAGAGGTCAGACTGGCCTTACTCAGCCAGCTACCTCCTCTCTCTCCCATGCACCTGCGCCAGGGAAACAGTGGGGACCCTGCCACGTTCCGAGGGAGTGAGGCCGGCGGGGACTGCACCAAAGATGTGCCGAGAATGAGACATGGGTCCTGGCGACTAGCTAAGAGCTGGAGAGGCTGTGCGGGTCGGAAAGGAGTCGTCCAGAGAGTCATCCAGAGGACTATGGCTTCTGAGACCAGCTGAGAC